CTGCTGGCAGGCTCTGCAATGTCCACACCGCCCCACGCTTACCTGGTCCTCGCTATACTTCTCCTGAAGCATCATCTGGACCTTTTCCAAGTTGCACTTCACAGTCTTGAGTTTCCAGGACAGGGCTTCAGCCTCTTGCTGGGTGGCTCCACAGTCTCCCAGGCCCTGGTCTCTGCAAGTGTCTAACAGAGAAGCGACCTTGTGCTCAATCTCTGTCAGCATAGCCTAGGAGAGAACATCCCTGCATTATCCACAGTGGACTGTAGGAGGCGGGGTAGGGATTGAGCCAGGTCCGTGTGCATACACAGCATGCTGCCTCCTGCTGAGCTACAATGCTGAGCCATGGTGTCAGTTTACAACAAGTATCATTCTCCAACATAAGTGAGATTTACTTTCTTTACCTCAGAATATAAAAGAAGACCCAGACACAGGATGGAAGGGATCTTGGAAAAACACAAATTTTGACATCATTCTGTGATGAAAAGCAGGGGTGCATCTAAATCAACCCTGAGCACAGATGTTACAGGAAGTAACCCTGTAATCGCCCCAGAAACACTAGATTATGATGCCCAGTGATTCCTGCTGGCTAACAATACAGATGCTAAATAGTCTATCTGGGTCTGAATGTCAGTCTGGCCACACAGTAGCCATGTTCACTCAGGAACCGTGCGTGAGTGCCCTCGGCTAATCCGTAAAATGGAGAAAATGACAGAATTCATCTTCTAGATTTATTGTAAGGAATCAGCCAATTCACTCTGTGGATTTTTGCCTTAATCCATGTGCTTTGGGTTTAATGACTTAAAATCATGTAGAGTATTCAAGTATTAAAGCACAAGATTAAGCAGAAAACTCTGAATATTTTCCCCCTGCCTTTCTAATCTTTTCTGTTATAGCCCAAGTGTCAAACAAGGAACAAAGAATTCCACACACTTATTTGACGGTTCTTCCCCATGTTCATTTCTTCCTCTTTCTCAAGCCAATCAAGCCTTCAAAAGATCAGAACACAGGAATAATTTGGAACATAAAATACTTAGGGACTGATAGAACTAACCGATCTATGTTGTAGAACATTAGTTGAAGATGTGTTATATTTGTTTATGCTGTGGAACATCTGTCTAATGATGCAAAGATGTGTCGTATTCTTGTATGTTATATTTGCTGAACTCTGTGAAGCTGTGTTACTTTGCCTGCCTGAAACACCTGATTGGCCTAATAATGACCTGAATGGCCAATAGCAAGGCAGGAGAAAGGATAGGCGGGGCTGGCAGGCAGAGAGAATTAACAGGAGGAGAAATCTGGGAAGAAAGATTGAGGAGGAAAAGAAGGAGAGGAGGACATCAGGGGCCAGCCAATCAGCTCCACAGCAAGCCATGGAGTAAGAAGTAAAGAAAGGTATAGAGAATAGAGAAAGATAAAAGCCCAGAGGCAGGGCTGGAGAGATAGCTCAGAGGTTAAGAGCACCGACTGTTCTTCCAGAGGTCCTGAGTTCAATTCCCAGCAACCACATGGTGGCTCACAACCATCTGTAAATAAATAAATGCCCAGAGGCAAAAGGTAGATGGGAAAATTTAAGCTAAGAAAAGTTGGCTAGAAATAGGTCAGGCTAAGGCCAGGCATTCATAAGTAAGAATAAGACCCCAAGTGTGATTCTTTGGAAGCTGGGTGGTGCCCACCCCCCAAAGAGTAAAGAGTAAAAAAACAACTACAGATCTACACAAGAGTCTAAAATTAAATTGGCCGCAGAAAGTGCATTTCCCAGTAAGTCAGGCTCTTTGCATGCCTCCTCAACAGATTCCTACACTTTTTCAAAGCTTAGGAGTCCATGCAACCATGCCAACTGGCTGGGCACAGGGTCAGCAGCCTTGTGCACACCTCACATTCCAGCACCAAGGCCACTGGCACAAAACTAAACCTGAGACTAAGACCTGAGACTAAGTTCAGTTAAAGAAACACTCTACCTCCAAACAGATTTTCCAGTAATATATCTTACAACCCCTTTATCCCAAAAAACTACTTATTGAATCTCTCTGGGTTCTTCAGAGCTTCAATAGTATGCACTCCAAGCTTTTGGGGTGGCTGTTCACAAAGGCAATCACAACTGTATGCTGGCTTGCTTACCCATGTAGTGGTTTTATGCAAATATTTTATATATTTACAACTGAAGCTTCCCAGCTACCATTTCAATAACCGCAAACTGACATTTCACGACTCGCTTAGCTTCCTGGTTGCTTAAGCCCTTTCCAGATCTTCAGTTTACCAATTAATGATGTTGTCACTTTGCTATCACCTTAAAGATTTCTTTTAAGTTTCATTATTATTATTATTATTTTTATGTGTATGGGTATTTTGCCTGCAAGTCTATCTGTGTACTAAGTGTATTCAGAGATCGGCAGAGGGAATCAGATTCCTGGGACTGGAGTTATAGACGGTTGTGAGCTGCCATGTGGGTGCTGGGAATCGAACCCAGGTTCCCTGGAAGAGTAGCCAGTGTTAGTGCTCTTAATTGCTGAGCCACCTCTCCAGCCCCCTATTCTCGGAGGAACAATATTTTTCTCTCTTTCTTTTCTGTTTTTGATATAGGGTCTCACTAGGTAGTCTCGGCTGGCCTGGAAGTCACTTTGTAGACAAGCTTGGCCTTGAACTCAGAGATCCACCTGTCTTTGATCCACATTTTTTTTCTTTAAAAATTTTTCCATTTTATCATTTCCTCCCTCCCCTCCCTTTTCTCCCTCTCTCCCTCTCTTTCCCTTCCTTCCTTCCTTCCTTTTTAAATTTTTTTTTTCTGAGTAAGCACTTAGGAGGCAGAGACAGGCAGATCTCTGTGAGTCCCAGGTTAGCCTGGGCTACATGGCAAGACCCTGGCTTTTCATTTGTTTTGCTTTGTTTTAAAGGCATTATTAAATCAAAGGAGAAGAACATTTTATATTCTCCCAAGTAACCTTCCAAACTGTTGATTCAATCAGACAAAACTACCAGATATGAGAGGATCAATTTTCTAATCTTGTCAGCATCTTATAACTTTTATGAATGTAAAAATAAGAATAACAAAATTGCTATTTTAATTCACATATTTTGTGTGTTTGTTTTGGGACAGGGTCTCATGTAGCTCAGGCTGGCCACAAATTCACTATGTAGCCAAGGATGACCCTGAACTCCTGATCTTCCTGCCTCTGTTCCTGATTGCTGAGGTCACAGGTACATGCCACACGTGGGTCATATCTTGATGCGTGCAGAGCAAGCCCTCTACCTACTGACTGAACAGGTTCAAAGCCCACCATTGCCAAAACCAAATTTTTATATAACCAGTGATCTTTAAATGCAGTTCAAATGAAGCATATTTTCAGCCAGTTAGAACCTGAAAACCACATCCTCCACCTGTGAGCTCTGCCCCGGGGCAGACTAGTCTATAAAATGCCTTTGCTGTCCTCTGATCTAGTCTCTCCATCATGCTGGGACATCATGTAGATGCCTAAGCCCCCTGAGAATCCACGCTCCCCACCTCCACCTTTAACCTCTATGAAGAACTTCCTGGCTCCTTAGACTCATGGTCCTGCCAAGTCTGCCCACAGCAGGCTTGTTGGGTGCTACTGCCACCTGGTGGGCACATCTTGTCTTTGTAGAGTCCCTCACTCTTTAAAATGGATGCAAAACAGCATGCTGGTGGTGACCAAGCCATGAGCATGAGGTCTACCTGGTTGGTAGCAAATCGGTATCGGATAGCCTTAGGGAGCTTGAGGACGCCTGGGGTACAACTTTGGGGTGCTCCGGTCTGTTGCTGGGTTTTAACTTCAACACTGGGGAGGCCAACCAGAAAGCCAGTGTCCGAGCAGACGGACGGACGGACTGTTAGACCCATCGGGACAACCCCTAGTCCTGTCTCCTCCCCTTGCAGATAGTTCCAGGTTGATGAAAGGGAGGCGGCCCACCTCCAGTGGAGTTGGCTACCCCAACCACAGGACAGGTTCCTGCAGAAAGAGCTTCTGGCGGCAGGGCCAGTGCCTTGAGAGACACTGAGACAGGACACGTCTTCATCCCTGGTAGGAAGTTAAGGCTGGTCTGCTGGACACAGCCTGGGGAGAGGCCACCACGAAGAGCCAGCAAGCCTCTGCTGTTGTGACAGCAGCTAGGCTGCGGAGGTGTCGTCACCCTAGGTCCTCCCTGGAGAGACACAGAGATCGCAGGCTTTGGGCTGAGCTGGCAAGCTATCCTTGGAGTGACTTCAGACAAGGAAGCTGACCTTCTCACTCGTCCCAGACTCAGAGAACTCCTGCTATACACGGCCACAAAGCTCTTCTACTTGGTCTGTGGACTCTGGCACATGATGACGTTTAGTTTCATTCTGATGAGTTAATTATTTATTCACAATCTTGCGATTACAGATTCAAAGCAACAGCAGATCTTGGGCACAGTTTAGTGTCAGACCCTGTGAGCTCACCTCCTTCCACCCGGACAAGATTTCCGTGCGCTAACCTACTCTACTGGAGGAGAAAAAGAAGGCTGAAAAGAGAATTGCTCCACGCTCACAGTTAACACGTTGGGGCTGGTTTTGGATTCTGGACTCTGGTCTGTTTGTTATTCACTTCTGTCCCCTCCAAGGGACAGACTGCACAAAGAATTTCAAAGACTCGACATCGAAAACGATGAGCCGAGGCTAAAATAAATGGGAGGTTTGGAGGCACGGGAGAAGCACACTGCCGCTTTAAGAGCAATTTGCCCCATCTTGGCAGGAGATGGGTGACTAGGCAAACCCTGAGCTCCTGCCTGGCCGTCTTACCTGGCACCCAGCCAGCTCCTGTTCCACCACCTGCTGCATGTCTGTGTCTAGTGTTTCCGGCTCAAACGCCACGTTGGCTTGTTGCAGCCACAGCTCCAGCTCGGCCACCTGGGTCTTGCAGACATGGAGGACTTCTGCAGGCTGAGGCCTACTTCTCTCCACTGTGGCCTCCAAGGCTCCTTGCTCGTGAGGAAAGTCCAGAGGTGTAGCCTCAGTGGGAGGTGTGGCACCCTAAAATGAAGCCAAAGATAATCCAGCAGTGAGAAGCGCGGAATCCAGGGCTTTTTACACTGGAGCTTGGAAAGAATAGGAGCCCGCAATGCCCCTTCCCTCCAGTTAAAAGACAAGAAGGACAGAAGGAGGAAGAAAGAAAAGAAAAAATGCACCTCCACACTCATAGCAACAACCACGTGACCTGGTGGCCCAGGTTTCCAAGCAGCCAATCTGCATGTACACAGGTACAGTATTCCCGGGCACAGAGGCGGGGAGTAGCAATCCCCGAGAGACAGGTGAGAGTGAGTGTGTGTGTGTGTGTGTGTGTGTGTGTGTGTGTGTGTGTGTGTGTGCCCCAAACACTGCAGGAAACTGGCCAGGGCTTGAAGTTGTATGACACATGATGATTAAGCAAGGCTTACACTGCTGTGCACCCCATGGAATTGGGAAAAAAACAGAAACAACCCAACAACAAAGCATGCTGGCAAGGCTGATAATAACCTGGAATCTGCCACACAATTGTAACAGCTTCCCAAACAGCAAGATTGCATGTTAGTTTTTCTTTATTCATCTAAACTTCCCTCTCTTCAAAACAGCTCGAGTCAAGACACGGACTTTGTGGAGTAACACACAGCATTTTCTCCCCTCCCCCAGTGAAAAATCCCTAAATTGGCTTTTGCTTTTCTAGACTCTCTTATTGAGTTAAGAACTGGCTGTGTTATATGTGAAGTTTGAATGAAGTGTGATGTATACTCTGTATATTGAAACAACTGGATTTCTTACCAATACAAAAGCACATTTTTTTTTTTCTCCCAGATGGATTTGTTAGTTTCAATGTGGAGGTAAAGATGATTTTAACATGGTAGATTTGCCTGACGCTGTAGGACCTACCCTCTCCCAGAATCCTCAAAGAGGACATTGACCCTTCTAGAGAAATCCCTTCAGAAATAAGGATTTATATTCTGACTTGTAAAAATACTGCTCTCCATACATTCTGTGTTAATTAGAATTCAAATGAATTGCAACATTTTCCACTTAAGACCGTGTGCAACCTTGTGAGCGTCTGTCTACTAAAGCACGATTTGGGACAAACGCCAGACTTCCAACAGGAGCTGCTCACAAGCATAACTAACATCCTACCTCAAAAACGTAACCTCAGAGGGGTAATATTTTTCCCGACTTCCTACTAACTTCACAAGGAGTTGTTCTTCTCCAGTAAAATGTTATTTCTTAAGCTAGGGGTGTCCTCGGCAGGGGTCGCTGGGGGGTGGGTGGGTGGGGGGAGGATATTTGCCTGGCATTTGAGCTTGAACCCCAGCCCCCGAAACCACAGCACAACAAATAAAACAAACACGTTTTCTCCCGCCTTCATCTACCTATGTGCACAGCTTTCTTCAAGGGCTACCTTCTGAAGAGGCCTTCTCTCCCAGTATGTTCCCTGAGCTTCCTACACCAGGCCCGTCCTGGCTCCGGGCTCCGGGGGTCTTCGTTAGGGTAAAGAGCTGTTGGAATTACTGTCAGGCGTCAATTTCGAGCCTGATTAGTTATATAACTGGTTAATTACATAAAAGAAACTGATTCGTTATTTCCTAGTTTGGAGTTAGGACTATACCTTAGAGGCAAAGATTGTGAGATCTTCTTTTTCTGCTGGCATCATCTGTTACTATCAACTGATGAATCTGTAATAACTAAGTTATCAGCCATCTTCTTAATTTACTTAAAATTTTCATTTGACCACTTCTGGCAGGCCACAATTCTAAGTGGCAGTATTAAGCTCTCCTGCTTTCTTACTATTTTCACTTAATGAGGAAGTGAGCAACCTGGATGACTAATCTGCCCTTTATTTAAACCTGAAACGAATCCAGAGAGGGTGGGGGTGGGGATAGAAGGAAAAAACCAATTACATGCAACCCCAGAAGAGTTGAAAGTGGCCTCAGGATTCTCATGGAGTAGTGCTCCCCCATACCCGTGTGTGTGTGTGTGTGTGTGTGTGTGTGTGTGTGTGTGTGTGTGTGTGTGTGTGTAAATTCTGAACCCTGAGCCTAGGGATGGTAATCAGTTCACAGCCTCCCATCCCACCACAGTGCTTCTGAGAAGTGCAGGCCTGGACACGGGCCACCAGTACCAGGTCGTGGGGCTCTGGCTCTGTGATCTTCAAATCATTAGTGTTCCGTTGGAACCCCTAGCTCACCTCTGCATATAATCTGGAAAGCCCCATTCCTCTCTCTCTCCAAACCCCGCCCTCTCAGAGAGATCTCCAAGAAAGAAAAGGCGCCAAAAAGCCCAGTTCTGAATTCTTGGCGGCTCCTCCCCTGAAGCTGCCAGCGGCCCAAGTTCCCACCTAAAGTGCTCGGCTGTTGACCACACTTGGGCACAAACCCAGTTCGTGGAGGATGCATCATCACCCCCTCACCTACAACCTATATAATCTCCCTGCTTTCATTTGTGGGCGTGGCTTTTCCAGCCTCGATCTCCGGGACTGGAGAATTCACCCGGGAGTGGCTTTGCTCAAATAAACCTGTTGTTACATTTTTTCCAATTCTGGTTTATTTCGTTGGCGGAGAAACCTATTATGGGCAGCAGAAAACCTATTAGGGAGTCCTCAGTAACTTTTTGAAACAGTAACCCTGCTTTATCAGTTAGCCCTAAACCCTAATGGCAGAAATCATTTCAGTGAATGTTTTATATATGGCATTTGAGGGTGGGGAGTAGGAGGTGGGGGAGGTGGAGGTTGGTTAAAAAATGTTGCCACAAATGTTTCCTATTAATTAAGAATTCTGTAGGCTCTCTGATAATGAAATGAAAGATTCCTATCTTTTATTGGTATTACTTATTCCTAATGAATGTGGTACCAAAACCAGATCCACACACTCCTCTATTCCCATGTACAGATGAGGAAACCCAGGCTTTGCTTTAAGAGTCTACTTAAACTGCCGGAGCCAACACCTAAGTAGAACTATGATGCAATCCTTGATTTCACTCTGCTTTGCAACGTACAAATCCGTGTTTTCCCAGAGTTTCACAAACTCTTTGACATCCAAATAAGACATCTGCTTTGGCATGTCACTGATCCAAACCCCGGCTTTGTAAACAAATGAAGATACGTGTTATGAGAAATCCACCAACATAAAAGGTATCTGAACATAGGACTACCAAAACAAAACAAAACAAAACAAAACAAACAAACAAACAAACAAAAAAAACCAACAACAAGTCAAACATGGAATGAAGCTGTAGGGAGACGGCTCGATGGGTAAAAATGCTTGCCTCACAAGCCCGATGACTTGAGTTTGACCCCCTAACCCCACGTAAAAAGCTGGATGCGGCAGTGTGAATCTGTGATCCCAGCACTCTTAGGGGAAAGATGGAATCAAGACAGGAAGGTTGGCAGGAAGCTAACGGCCCAGAGAGCCTAGCTTCAACAATGTAGAAGCTGGACAACTTCCCGCCACCCCGAATGTTTCTCTACTGATCAAAGCCCCCATCCCTTGGCTTTAAACAAACAAGCAAAGAAACAAAACCCAAACAAGGTGGAAGGCAGGACCCAACTCTCAAAAACTGTCCTCTGGTTTCCACATATGCACCTTAGAATACATACGGCATACGGCCCAGGTAGCATCATGTGATCACACTGAAGCCTTAGTTCAGGAACACACAATACACACTTTACAATGTGCATGTTGTTACCACATGCGACACCAACAAATGTCCCCCAAAAACCTTGGCACAGATTCAACACCACTGGATGGTATAAATTCCATATTTTTTCTGTACAAAGTTTTCTGCTGTTATAGGAACATAACGTGACCCAGAACTCCTGGAAAGAAGCTGTCTGCTGAGACCACTGACTGATTAGAGATTGGAATGTTGCAGGGCCTGGGCTAATTCACTGATTTCAGGCTACCTTTAGCTGCCCTCTCCCCCAACAGCCATCCTTTGCCTACCTCTATGTTGGAACCACCACCCTGTAACTAACAGATACAAACTTTCTGAAACCTAGTAACTTAGCAGACCACTAGCTTCCAACAAACAAAAAGTGTCTTCAGACAGCATGTGAGGCCCACAGAAAAGCCTCTCTCCCCATCTGCCGTAAGCACCTCTCCGACGCTCTCACCAATGTATTCTAAACTTGCCTTGATTTATGACTTTCTGGAATATGGAAAACAAAGACCTCTAATATTTTCCTGCCATTAATTTTCAGCATATGTTAAAGTAGAGCATCTGTGAACTGTATGTATTGTGTTAGGACAGACGCAAACTCACAGATCTGGAACACACTACTGAATGATGCGTGGTTCATCAAAGAAATCAAGAAGAAAATTTAAAAAATTTCTAGAATCAAATGAAAACAAAACATGACATAAGTAAAAAAAAAACCAAACAAACAAGTATGAGCTACAAGGCAAGCAGGCCTAAAAAGAAGTTTACAGCTATGATTGCCTACATTAAAAAACCAGACAGATCTAAAATAACTTAGTGATCAGTATGCATAAAGAAACTTAAGATCAGGACAGAAATTAATGAAATGGAAATGAACAAAAACAATACAAAGGATTAATGAAACAAAAAGCTGGTTCTTTTAAAATTATTAATTAAAAAATTAAATTAATTAAAAATTTTAATTAAAATAAAATATATAGTTTTTAAAATTATACACACACATACATGCACACACATATATATATACACACACACACCATATGTATGTGTGTAGGTCTCTGTGTGGCCATGTGCACTTGTACCCAAAGAGACAAGAGGTGGTGGATCTCACTGGAGCTGAAGCTACAGGTGGTTGTGAGATGTCCCACATGGGTGCTGGGAACTGAACTTAGGTTCTCTGGAAGGACGGGCAGTGTGTGCCCTTCACTGCTGCACCATCCCTCCAGCACCAAAAGGTCGCTCTTTGAAAAGATTTAAACCACACTGACAAAAACCTTAGCCAAATCAAAGAGAGAGAAACAAAAATATATATATGTTTTTGTTTTTACTGTTTTTATCTCATTTCCTGCTCTCTCTATATATGAGATGAAAGCAATAAAAACAAAAAGATGTCTCCCAGCTAAAGACTCCTGGGCAGACGGTGTCAGTGCTTTCTGTCAGATCTTTAAGGAAGAACTAATATCAATGTTTATCAAATGAATCCAAAAACAGAAACATAAGGAATGCCACCAAGATCTTCTTATGAAACTAGTATTAAAAACCTGATACTAAAATAGAAATAACAGCAAAACAAAAAGAAAACTCTAGACAATTTCCCTAATGAACAAAGGTACAGAAAATCTCAATAAGATAATTGCAAATTAAATTCAAGAACACATTAGAAATATCACTTACTGCCGGGCGGTGGTGGCGCACGCCTTTAATCCCAGCACTCGGGAGGCAGAGGCAGGCGGATCTCTGTGAGTTCGAGGCCAGCCTGGTCTCCAAAGCGA